CAGTTCCTCTGACTGCAGAGATCCCGAACCACCTTCACGTAAACCTTGGGTAACGCCCAAGATTGAGTAGGCCTAAACGTAAAACCTGGAGGTCCCGGGAGGTGCCCACCGTTGCCTTGCGCTCCGGAGAGCAGAGCTTAGCCAGACATCTTTTCATATGAACCGAGAGCCACAAAGGTGCTTTTTCAAAAGGCAACCGAACTTTCTTACGGTGTTTTTTTTTTTTTCCCTTGAAGACATTTCGCTTCTCATTTAGGAAGCTTCCTCGGGTCTGACTGAATGGTGGCGCATGGAAGGGTTTATAGTCCTTTCAGTCGTGGGGTCGTTAGCGCTCTCTCTGAGAGTCGTTGAGGCCACTTGGATCGGTGCCCTCGGGCTCCCCTTGCGTTCTTCGCCGTTCAGTCAGAACCGAAGAAGCTTCTTCCGTGGGAAGCGAAAAGTTTTCAAGGAAAAAACGAAAAACGAAGTTCAGATGCCTTTTAAAAAAGCAGTTTTGTGACAACCATGACCTGGATGACCGAGAATCTCCACGGACATAAAAACTGACAGAAAATCCAACTACTTACGACCATTTTTCACACTTAGCAACCGTTGTCGCCTCCCCAGGATCACGTCATCCAAATTCAGAGGCTTGGCAACCGGTTCCTAATTACGACCGTTGCTGTGACCCCCTTTGGCGGAGCGTCCGGCCAGCAAAGTTCAGTGGGGGGAGCCAGATTGACTTAATAACCGGGTGACTCACTTTAACAACTGAACAACTGAGGCAGGAAAGGTGGTAAAACGGGGCAAAACTCACTTAACAAATGTCTCGCTTGGCCGCAGAAATTTTGGGCTCCCTTGCGGTCGTTAAGTCGAGGACTGCCTGCGTTGGGGAGGGGAAAGAGGAGCGTTAAGGTGCAAGATGGACGCTGGGAAAATTCCTTTTGCTTGTGTGAAAGCAGCCTGTTCTGTGTGCCGCCTCTTCTTCGCCCGCAGGTGCTGGAGATGTTTATCCTGGTGCTGCAACAGTGTCACCGAGAGAACGAGGAGAAGTGGAAGAGGCTGTCGCGACAGGTAGCAGACATCATCCTGCCAATGCTGGCCAAACAACAGGTGAGGGTTTCCCTTTGGTGGCAATTGGCCATTGAGGGAGACATTTAGTAAGGTTCCGTTCTGTTCTATTTTATTCCATTCCATTTCATATTTTCTATTCTATTCTATATTCTATTCCATTCCATTCTCCTATTCTACTCTACTCTACTCTACTCTACTCTACTCTACTCTACTCTACTCTACTCTACTCTACTCTACTCTACTCCCATTCCCATTCCCATTCCCATTCTATTCTATTCTGTTCTGTTCTGTTCTATTCTATTCTATTCCTTAATTCTATTCTATTCTATTCTATCCTATTTCATTCCTATTCTATTCTATTCTATATATTCTCTTCTATTCTAATTTTTATTCTATTCTATTCTATTCTATTCTAATTTTTATTCTATTCTATTCTACTCTACTCCCATTCTATTCTATTCTATTCTATTCTATTCTAATTTTTATTCTATTCTACTCTACTCTACTCTACTCTACTCTACTCTACTCTACTCTACTCTACTCCCATTCCATTCCATTCTATTCTAATTTCTATTCTATTCCATTCCATTCCATTCCATTCTATTCTATTCTAATTTCTATTCTAATTTCTATTCTATTCTATTCTACATTCCATTATTCTATTTTATTCTACTCTACTGTATTCTCTGTTCTGTTTATTCTGTTCTGTTCTGTTCTCTGTTCTGTTGAGAAGCTGCTGTGGCCCTTTCCAGCAGAGAAGGACACCCTTCGGTTTGGGGTTTCCCCCTGCCAGGGGCTTCACACACCTCCCCGGCTGAACCAGTGTCGAATTTTCACAGCCCCAAACTCAGAATTAAGTACAGGTAGTCCTCGCCTTACAGCCGTTCATTTAGTGACGGTTCGGCACTGGAAAAAAAAGTGACTTTAAGACTGTTTTTCACACTTACGACCGTCGCACCCTCTCCCCGGTCACGTGATCAAAATCCCGACGCTTGGCCACTGACTCGTATTTATGACGGTTGCGGCGTCCTTGGGGGTCACGTGATCCCCTTTTGCGACCTTCTGACAGGCAGCGTCAGTGGAGGCAGCTGGATTCGCTTAACAACCGGGTCACTCTCTTAACAACTGCAACCACTTCCCTTCAAAAGTTGTGGGTGCTCCACAGGCTGTGAAGAAAAACCCCGGACCGCCTTTTGCCTGGAGTGGCATAGGGAGGCCGGACTAGAAGACCTCGAAGGTCCCTTCCCAACTCTTTTGTTATTCCACTCCCTTCTGTCTTCTGACCGGGGCCAAAAAAAAAAAGACGCAAAGCGGGGCGACGACTCGCTGAACAAAACCTTTCGCTCAGCAGCCTAAATTGGGGGGGGGGGCTCGGTTGCGGCCGTAACTCGAGGACTACCTGTACGATAAGACGGTTCTTTTTATTTATTTATTTATTCAAATCTCTGCTGACCGCAACCCCGGTTGATTCCGTTGTGTTTTTGGTTTGTTCCTTTTTTTTTTTTTAACTAGATGCAGATCGATTCCCACGAAGCTCTGGGGATACTGAACACTCTGTTTGAGATCCTGGCCCCCTCCGCCCTGCGCCCCGTGGACATGCTCTTGCGAAGCATGTTCGTCACGCCCAGCACGATGGTAAGCAGGGGGCAGCCAGCCAAGGGGGAAAGGAGGGCGTCCCGGCGCAGGACATGCCCAGCTGCCCTCTTTCCTTTCCTGGCTGTCGGGTACCCCCCCGTCCTCAGCCCTGCAAGTTCCCTTTGGGCCAGTCCCTCTCTTTGCAAGGGGGTCGTGGTGAGGGGAGATTAAAAAAAATAGCAGGAAGGACCCCCCCCCTTGGGGACACCTGCAGCTCCCGCAGAAAAGCAGGGAGTAAATCCAGTCGGTCAACAGCTGGCCCTGTGCTTAGCGGCAGATGTTCCTCTGCTCGGCTCTGGGAATGCCTCTCGGGCTCGGCCCCCTTTGCTTCCGGGGGAAATGGCTGTGCATTTTGTTATCCAAGTGCATGCTCTGACCGATAAACTGCGTTCTTTTTGGGAAGTGAAGAAGTGGGGAGGGGAGGGGAGGGAGGAAAGGAGAGAGGAAGGGAAGGGCAAAGGAAGGGAAGGAGGGGAGAGGAGAGGAAGGGGAGAAGAAGAAGGGAAGGAAAAGGGAGAGGAAGAGAAGGAGGGGAGGAAAAAGGAAGGGGAGAGGGAGGGAAGGGGAGAAAGAAGAAGAAGAAGAAGAAGAAGAAGAAGAAGAAGAAGAAGAAGAAGAAGAAGAAGAAGAAGAAGAAGAAGAAGAGGAGGAGGAGGAGGAGGAGGAGG